ACTCCAGCCTTGGCAACAGAGTGAGACTCCATCTGCCCCCTCCAAAAAATAACATTTTGTAGAGATGGGTTTTTGCCATGTTGCCCAGTTAGGTCCCAAACGCCTGGGCTCAAATGATCCCCCCATTTTGGCCTCCCAAATGTTGAGGTAACAGGCATGAGTCACTGCTCCCATCAAGAACTATGAAATGACATAAATCAAAGCACAATCACATTTTTTGAAATAAAGACAAAACTGCATTTAGAAGAAAAAATTCAAAGTTTCGAATTGTTCATATGAAAAAAAAATAGATATTGCTCTATGCCATCGTAGGCTGCACTGCCACCATCCCAGACGGGCTGACTGTAGGTCAGATGGGAGAGTCCTTACAGAAATTAGGGACTTACCAGATGTGGACTGAGTTTGCAGGGTGCTCAGACCTCAGGAAGAACCAAGCAGTAACTCCAGACTTGAAGACTTTGGGTCTCTCCTCTGGGTCTTTAGAAGCTTTTATTGACCTTTCTAATCACAACTCCCACCCACACCCCTCCACGTATCCACTGCTAGCTTCCAATCAAAAAGTGACATCTGATTGCATTTCTGAAGCTCCACCCAGTTAATCCTGATTGCATTTTTGGCTCTCCCCAGATTAATGGATTGAATCAGACATCCATTCATATCAGATATCCATATTAATTTCAGGAATCAAGAAATTGACAGTGTTAGGAATAGGATGGAAGTCAAGAATTCATTCATTCCAGTCCAGGCAAGGTGGCTCATGCCTGTAATCCCAGCATTTTGGAAGGACAAGGCAGGTAGAACACCCGAGGTCAGGAGTTCAAGACCAGCCAGGTCAGAAAGGTGAAATCCCGTCTCTACAAAAATACAAAAACTAGCCGGGCATGATGGCAGGTGCCTGAAACCCAGTTACTCGGGAGGCTGAGGTGAGAGGATCACTTGTACCCAGAAAGCAATGGTTGCAAAATTGTGCCACTGCACTCCAGTCTGGGAGACCGAGGGAGATTCTGTCCAAAAAAAAAAAGAAAATCATTCATTCATGAACTCCACAAACACTCATGGACTTTTACTAATATGTGACCTTCATAGTCCTGAGTGTGAGGCAGGGAAGGATTTCATCTGCTCCGGACATTAGACAGAAAAATAAAATCTGAAAGTAGTGTTGTTGGGAGATCTTTGGCCACATCAAAATTATAAAAACGCTTTATACTTAAAAAAGCTTTATAAAAACAGAGGAGTCCTCCCTACAAAATCAGAATAAAACTTTCCATGTATCAAATGGTCATGTGGGTTTTATATCACCTAAGGCAGCAGTTTATTCACTCGTGCTGGTGGAAGAGAGGTGCCACTGAGGGCGTGAGTGGTCTCAGGGCTTAGATTAAGGCTTCTCTGGAAGAAATGGAAACCACACCTATAAACTTTATAAATGTAATCAGTGAAGAAGGGAGGGGAAGAAACAAAAATAAACCAAGCTTGCAGCACATTCAGCATTCATCAGGAGGT